GTGAGGATGCATTGATTTCAGTTTTCAAAGTACATTCTGTATAATTACTGTGCTTGCATAAAAGTCATTTCTACATAGGCTGATTGTTTCTTTATAATATAAAAATGAAAGATGAAATTAAAAGCTCGATTTTACTACAACACTTCCAGAGTTTTCTCTTGGAATGTCTGACAGGCGGGTCCCATGTTTGAGATTAATGAGTCCATTGTCTATTACAAGGACTGTCATCTTAAAAGTTTCTGAACTGTGTTACATCTTGAATAAAAAGTGCCTAAATTATAATATTATAGAAGATCCAATCTTATTAATCAAAAGTTACCAAAATAACAGTAAAGGAATAGATATGTTGGTTGATAAAAGGCAATTCTTGGACCAAAACTTGATCTTGGACTACGAAAACCTGTGTCAGGGAAAATCCTGAACTTTGAACCCTGAAAAGAAGGAAACCATTATATCATTAATTTGAAAGACAACCTGGCATTTCTAGATTACACTTAAATCAGTTTTAGACACTGCTACTGTAGAAACTTCGATATTAAACTTCATACTGTATGTTTATTAAACTTTTTAAAATCTGTTTGGAAATAATGACAGTTGTACAATTACATATTGCTATTTATTTACTGAAAAGTTTTAAGCTACATGTGCTATAGGTCATTGCTTGTTTGCTTATTTAAAAATATGACATCATTGTATTTTCATCTTTGAATTTTATGTTAATGAATAAAATGCATTTAATAGAAATTTTCAATAATTGCTAATAAATTAAATGAATTGTTGGTTTTATCAGAGATGTACAAGTATAAAATATCATTTATATCTTCCACTTTAAGTTTATTCATAAAACTATAATTCTAGCTACAACTTGATGTTTCAAGGGTATTTAACCATGAAGAATAACTGCTTAATATTTTTGAATATTGTGTTAAAAGGCGAGAAATATGTATTTTAAATCGGTTTTTACAACATACAACAAAATGTTTATTTAGTTTATAATAGACATGTGGAGTTACATATTCATTGCTGTTTTACATGGGACAATCTTACGTTTTATACTTTTATCATTTAAGAAAATATTTTTAACAGTGCTTAAGTAGATTGTTAGGTAGCCATAAATCAAACAGATTGCAAAGTATGTGCTGTTTTATCTAAAATATTAAGAAGTGTTTTAAAAAAGATTATTCTTTTAATTTTGTTTTTTTTAGTTGAGAGATGGAAACACACTGCTAAGTTCTAGAGCCTGTACATTGTATTAATACACTTGTTACTATATATAGTAACAAAATTGCCAATGATTTCAACTGATTATGAGTGTCACGTGACCTATTATGAGTTTGCGGCCCGGGGCCGAGAACTAGTTATCAGCCCGCAGAACATGTGCATGTGCACAAACTGAAACAATGACGTCATATTTTACGTCATCAAACAGTTAACTGTAAAAGTGAAAGTAGGTTGTCAGCACGAATCGCTTTATTTTTATTATGAGATCTTAAGCGTATTTAGTACAAGCACATTTTTGTTACTATTGAAATTTGAAGAAATAATACGAAAAATTCATTCCGAAAAAAAATGAAAATAAAACTTGCTTCTTTATTCTACTGCTTTGAACACACAAACAGTAAATATCTCTGTACAGAACAGTAGAAGAGTAAACAAGAATTTCAACGAAAGAACTTCAAAGTCTATTTATTTATTTTTATTTTTTTTTAAATGCTACTATTAGATCTACCAAGTGTATTAAAGACATTAATACACGTCAGCGTAGGGCCGGAAGGTGATAATCGGCCCTGAATGAATAATGGCCCTCGGGCTAAAGCCCTCGGGTCCATTATTCATTTTGCGGCCGATTATCACCTTCCGGCCCTCTCCTGCCGTGTATTAACCTTTTAGTATACAGACTAATTGGTGAAATGATGCCTAATATATTAATATCGTAATATAACTTGTTTATGAATGCTGATGAATTTAGAGTTCTAACTTTGGCACGCTTTGACATTATTAAATAATTGTACTCAAATGGCAATTCACCTATTACTGCGCAGTTTACAATATTTGCATGCAGTGACATTCTTATTCTGTATTTTTCATTGGTTTTATTTTGTCCAGCAGGTATGAGTTGAATATATATAACCAATTTCAGAATACTGTTGCTGATGTTCATAATGAGATCAAAACCAAGAAATATGAGAATTGGAATAAAAAGAGCATTTTGTAAAAACAAAAATCCATAACATTTAATGTACCAGTTCCATGTGTTATGTACATTATCATTAGGGGCAAAAGTCAGTGCCATTGGGATGAGTATGACAGGGGCTGACTCCTCTTAAAGCAGAGGGACTCGTGGGGGAGTTGGGAGGCCTCCCCTGAGAAAAAATCTGAAGTAATAAGTAAAATAGAGGCCACATAAGCATTCAAAGTCTGAATTTAGATTTCATTTTTACCCCAAAGAGCTCTTATAAGCTCTTTATCATTTTGTATTCATTCAAAAATTTATTCTTATGTTTTTATGTACATGTACAGTGTAAAGTCAAGTGTTTTTAAAGATTTTGAAAAAAAACAACAACAAATTGTTCATGATTTGACAACACCAGAAATTGAATACATCAGCAGATATATACACCCAACATCTTGAATGTCAGTGCAGTGTAATGTATACAGTATACGTAAAACAGTTGCTAATTAAACTACACTTACAATGTGAAAGAAGTTTTGTTCACAGCTGTAATATAATCTCTGTAAAGAAATGAGAACTTAATTGTATAGAAGTGTTTCATATAAAGTATGTTTAAGTGTCTTAACTGTTTGTTAAGTTCATTGTTTCCAAAGTTGAAGTGTTACTTGATGAGAATAAAGCTATACACTACAAATTTGACTTTGTAATTTAGCTTGATTAAAAAAAAAATGATTCACATTAATATGGAGATAACCTTTAATATACTGCATACATAGCAACATGATTAATGATTCACTTTGGATATCAGTATATACCCAGGTTGAGTCTGCTGGCCAGGATCTTTCCTTATCTAGGATACCAGTAAATACCCAGGTTAAGTCTGCTATTAACAATGTCTGGCCTAGATCTTTACTTACCTAGTATACCAGTATATAGTCAGGTTAAATCTGCTATTTATGATGTCTGGTGTGGATCTTGACTTACCTAGTATACCAGTATATAGGTAGGTTGAGTCTGCTATTTATGATGTCTGGCCTGGATCTTTACTTACCTAGTATACCAGTATATAGGTAGGTTGAGTCTGCTATTTATGATGTCTGGCCTGGATCTTTCCTTACCTAGTATACCAGTATATAGCCAGGTTGAGTCTGCTATTTATGAAGTCTGGCCTTGATCTTTCCTTATCTAGGATACCAGTATCTAGCCAGGTTGAGTCTGCTATTTATGATGTCTGGTGTGGATCTTGACTTACCTAGTATACCAGTATATAGTCAGGTTGAGTCTGCTATTTATGAAGTCTGGCCTGGATCTTTACTTACCTAGTATACCAGTATATAGCCAGGTTGAGTCTGCTATTTATGATGTCTGGTGTGGATCTTTACTTACCTAGTATACCAGTATATAGCCAGGTTGAGTCTGCTATTATGATGTCTGACCTGGATCTTTACTTACCTAGCATACCAGTATATAGCCAGGTTGAGTCTGCTATTATGATGTCTGACCTGGATCTTTACTTACCTAGTATACCAGTATATAGCCAGGTTGAGTCTGCTATTTATGATGTCTGACCTGGATCTTTCCTTACCTAGTATACCAGTATATAGCCAGGTTGAGTCTGCTATTTATGATGTCTGGCCTGGATCTTTTCTTACCTAGTATACCAGTATATAGCCAGGTTGAGTCTGCTATTTATGATGTCTGGCCTGGATCTTTACTTACCTAGTATACCAGTATATAGCCAGGTTGAGTCTGCTATTTATAATGTCTGACCTGGATCTTTCCTTATCTAGGATACTAGTATATAGCCAGGTTGAGTCCGCTATTTATGATGTCTGGCCTAGATCTTTACTTACCTAGGATACTGGTACAGTATATAGCCAGGTTGAGTCTGCTATTTATGATGTCTGACCTGAATCTTTACTTACCTAGGATACCATTATATAGCCAGGTTGAGTCTGCTATTTATGATGTCTGACCTAGATCTTTCCTTATCTAGGATACCAGTATATAGCCAGGTTGAGATGATGCTCTTTCTAGCTGTCTACTTTAACTCTATACTCACCAAGGATGTCGGTAAACAGCAAGGTTAAGTCTGCTCTTTCATGCCCTGTGATATGGCTATAGAGTATAGACCCATGTTTGTCTGCACATTAGATCAGTCTGACCTGACAAAATTAAAACCCTGATTCAGGATTGGCCTTTATAAACAATGACAGCTAATAAAAGGCGGTGATTTTACTTGTTACTGTGTGCTTGTACCTTGTTTTATCAGGTGTAATGTTATATTAATTTATTACATGGTCATGTGATATATAATTATTCGCTGCTATGATTTATGTTTGTAATCTAGTCTTATGTTGTAAATTATTTCTTGCAGTTGGACAGTGAGATGTTAAGCTTATATTTATTTTCACTGTTTTTTGGGGAAATTTTAAATTAAATTTTTTATTTTTTGCTGAGGCTAAATAAATACCAAGTCATTAATAAAAATTTAAATTAATCAAGCCATTTGCCACCCCCCATTGTAGGGGGAGGGGGGTTAGTGATATTAGGAAAATTTTTTACCTTTTTCATTTAAATGCAGGCTTGGTTTACATAATTTTTTGCCAAAATCGGGCGTATTGAAATATAGAGTGAAAAATTTGTACTTTTGCCGTCCACTTTCTCGGGGGATGGACTGTGGTAACAACTTGACTTGTGAATATTTAAGTTAGATTTAATTGTCAGATTATCTGATTTCAATTCATTTGTTTTAGTTTACATTGCATTTAAATTTAATGGAGAGAATGATTCACCACAGATTTATGTTTTCAATTGCATTTTACAGGTAGACAAGACACTGTAGATAACGAAAGTCTGACAAGAAGCTTGCGGTGATTTTTGTTTATGGCCTGACATAACAGAATGTACGCATAATGGTATGAGATAAAGGAAATAGAGGATAATGTGTCATTACAATTCAAGTGCAAGGTTTGTAACCAAAAAAAAATTACAATGATTTATTCATGATTTATGCATTCATTAATTAATTAATGTAGGGCATTCATTGATATGGGACATAATTATTAATTGGTTAACAAGTTTATAATTGTTTCATACTGTAATACTGCTCATTCTGCAGGTGATGGTCTAGTTACTGGACAAAACAGAAAATGTAGCTTTAAAATAAAAAACCTGCATAAGACCCAATTGTGGTCAAAAATGAATTGTTTTCAAGTTGCTGTTAATTTTAATTAATTGGACAAAAATATTAACATGAAAAAAACTGAATTAGACAATCATTATTATAAACTTGATAAAGATTAATGAAAAATTACTGATTTTTTAAAATTCAATTGTTTTCGTGGTCAACTTACACTGAACATATATACATGTATTAGTAAAAATCTTAATACACATATTGCACAAAGGAAAGTCGTGCAAATTTTTCTTCTCAGACTGTAATTAAGATTTGCACAATGTTGTTTGACAGACATATGTCACTTGTAGAAAAAAAAACAAGGAAAATTATAATCAATTTTTCATTACTAGATACACGCATGTTCCCTTTGTCGTCACCAACTGTATACCAAAAAAAAACACATCTGCGAAATGTATATTCAATGTGTTATAAGATACTGAGTAATTGACTGGCGAGTTTTTGTGTAATTGATTATAAACATACATTTTACATGAATGGTGGTCACACAAAAAGAGCCTTTCAGGTCTATAATGTAACAGATGTTTAAACCCTTTTTTTGCCCTTGCCATTAAAACCAATCTATTTTCCTTTAAATACCCATTGAAAATCCCAGTCATAGGTAAAAAGGGTTTGGGAAGTTTTTGTGTTTTTTTTAAATTTGAAAAAGTAGGTTTAAATGCTTTTTTAAAATATGGTTTTTTTTTTTTGTTTTTAAAAATTTTTTTTTATTTTCTTTGGATTAAAGTATTTTATTTGGGGGTTATTTTTAAAAAAATTATTAACAGGGGAATTTTAAAACTGTTTATAGCTTTTCTTAAAACCCCAGCATCGTTTTTAGGGGATAATTTTCCATTTTTAACCTGTCAAAACTCGGTTTAAAAAATTTTTTTTAATTTTTAACCAAATTTTTGTAAAATTTTTAAAAAAAAAATTTTGGGAAAAAAATTAAAAAAATTTAATTTTTTAAAAATTGGGCCTGCAGCCTGATTATTTGATAAAAAAAAAGTTTTATTATTTAAAATTTCCCAAAAGTTAAAATTCCCAGTAGGACTTTTATTTTTAAACCCATTAATGTATATAATATTATTGTTTAAAAAAGGGTTAAACCGAGACGATTAAAGCAAAATTCCCATTTTTTTATTTTTTTTTTTGGGAAAAACAATTATGTTTTGTTTTCAAACAAAAGTATTTCACAAATTTTTTTTTTTGGAAAATGCATTTATCACTTTTAAACCTTTCCAAAAACACCCGAGAGCTTTTATAACGTGTCATTTACATTTTTCTAAAAAAAAAAGATCAGCGGTTTCAATCATCCCCCTTTTAAATTTACTAAAAATTTTGAAAATTAAGAGTAATGGGTATATTAGGGGTATTGGGGGAAAATTCCCTTTATTGTTTTTGTATTTTTTTAAATTGGCGCCAAAAAAGCCATTTCCCACCTTTATTCTTTTGAATTGACATATTTATTCTAAAAATAACATATTTAACCTTTATTTAAGCTTAAGGCCACTTTAATCTTCTTGAAGTTTTTTTATTTTATTAAGTTTCAATTAATCATCACAATCATACTATCTGATAATAATATTCATTGTATTATTCATTGTATTATATTTCAAATAATGACCAATGGCTAAGTGGTTAAGTGCAAAAGTCTTGTATTCTTGCAGGTTCTAATATATTTCAAAAACATGCAAATTGCAAAGAAAATGACACCAAGAAATGAATATTTTAAAAACTTTACCACCACCCAGCCCCTGCAAAAAAGGATTTGTTAAGAGAATATTTTATAAGTTTATCTAATGTTTATGTCACTATTGGCAATTCTGTTGGAGCAAAGGATAATCTTGATTATTAAATTAAATTCTATGAAAAGATTTTTGTGCCCCCACTTAAGTGGCATGCATTTAGATTTACCCTTGTCCGTCCGAGCAAACATTTTGGGTTTAGGGGCTATATAACAGTAAAGAGAACAAAAGAGAACAATAGGTTCATTCGTGATGGGGCTAGTAGCCCTTAAGAGAAAAAGAAAATAAAAAAGAAAATAGCCCCCTAAAGCCAAAATGTTGGAACGTCCTTCCGTCCGTCCGTTCTCTTTTGTGTCGCACGTAACTCAAAAAGTATTTGACCTAGAGTCATGAAAGTTTACAGGAATGTTGATCAGCATGTGTAGTTGTGCACCTGGGTATTTTTGTCTGGATATTTTTTAGTATTTTTGCAGAGTTATTGCCCTTGTTTAGTAATACTTTTACAATTTTCAACTTGTGTCGCACGTAACTCAAAAAGTATTTGACCTAGAGTTATGAAACTTTACGAGGAATGTTGATCAGCATGTTGTAATTGTGCACCTGGGTATTTTCGTCTGGATATTTTTAAGTATTTTTTAGAGTTAATGCCTTGACTTAGTAAAATTTTGCAATTTTCAACTTGTGTCGTATGTAACTCAAAAAGTATTTGACGCTAGAGTCATGAAACTTTACAGGAATGTTGATCAGCATGTGTAATTGTGCACCTGGGTATTTTCATCTGGATATTTTTAGTATTTTTAGAGTAATTGCCTTTGACATAGTAAATTTTGCAATTTTCAACTTGTGTCGCACGTATCTCAAAAAGTATTTGACCTAGAGTCATGAAACTTTACAGGAATGTTGATCCAGCATGTGTAGTTTGTGCACCTGGGTATTTTCGTCTGGATACTTTTTAGTATTTCCAGAGTTATTGCCCTTAACTTAGTAAAATTTTGCAATTTTCAACTTTGTCGTATGTAACTCAAAAAGTATTTGACCTAGAGTCATGAAACTTTACAGGAATGTTGATCAGCATGTGAAGTTGTGCACCTGAGTATTTTCGTCTTGATTTATTAAGTATTTGTAGAGTTATTTCCCTTGACTTAGTAAAATTTTGCAATTTTCAACTTGTGTCGCATGTAACTCAAAAAGGATTTGACATAGAGTCATGAAACTTTACAGGAATATTTATCAGCATGTGTAGTTGTGCACCTGGGTATTTTCGTCTGGATTTATTTAGTATTTTTAGAGTTATTGTCCTTGACTTAGAAAATTTTTGCAATTTTCAACTTGTGTCGCATGTAATTCAAAAAGGATTTGACCTAGAGTCATTAAACCTTACGAGAAGGTTGCTCAGCATATTTAGTTTTGCACCTGGGGTTTTGCTTGTGGATTTATCCAGTATTTGTAGAGTTATTTCCCTTGACTTAGTCAAAACCGTTTCATTATGTTGTTATTTGGTCCTTGAGTGCTTGAGTTAGAATCAACAAACTTTTACAGGAGATAATGATCAACATCACTAAATTACAGAATAATTATTCACATCACTGTGAAGCTATGCACCTGGGACTTTGCATGTGGATTTTTTTTCAAGTTTTGTTAGAGTTATTGCCCTTGACTTACAGTAGTATAAATTTGCAATTTTCAACTTGTTCATGCATAGCTCAAAAAGTATTTCACTTGTAGGCCTGAAAGTTTACAAGAATGTTGGGTCAGCATGTGTACTTATGCACCTTGGGGTTTGCTTGTGGATTTATTCAGTATTTGTAAAGTTCTTGCCCTTTACTTAGTAAAAGATTTTTAGTTTTCAAAAAATATTTGACCTAGAGTCATAAGATTGACAGAACAGTGGGGCGGTGGGGGCACCCGTGTCCTATGGACACATATCTAGTTATATTAAATTCTATGAAAAAATTAATCATTTAGTTTTTCTTATGTAGTAATTTACTTCCAGACATTGAACAAGTATTTTGTTTTTCTAGCAGGTAAATTAATTACTAGTGATACAACAGCTTGCATTTATGTTTTACATCACATTTGATAAACGATTTTGCAGACTCGGCTATGTGCAGATTTTTGATCATGTTTCTTTTTTCTCTTTAAACCAGCTGAATTTGTGTAATGAACTTCCCCAGCTCTAAATTTGGGACATTCCATTCAAAGTTTAGGGAATTCAAGAATGAGGTGATGTTGTCAGGCAGCAATATTATTTTATAGTTTCATAAAAATAGTGAATGTGTCAAATGAACACAATGTTTTACCAATATTATAGAGCCTGGTGAAATGGGCTCTTTTAGTCTTTTAATACTGGAAGCAATTAAGGCTAATTACTTCCAGTTCCATTAAGTAAAGTGTTAACCTGCTGAATTTTTTAAATGAACTTGTCCAGCTTCTAAATTTAGAATTGTCCATTATCATTTTTGGGGATGTCAGGATGAAAATTTAAAGTTGGGTCAGCCAACAGTATAAAGCATGGTCAGATGATATATTGCTATATTATATATCAGATAATATATGGTCAGATGATATATTGCCTATCTTTATACTGATTGCAATGGACCTAACTAATTTCTCATTCCAACAGTTTTAGAGGTAACAAGTGTTTTCGTGTTAATATCATAAGGAATAGAATGAACATGTTTAACAAATTTTACATTAATGCTGTAATGTGGAACACATTAAGATCTGTGGATTTGATGTTGTTTAAAACTCTACACTGAAATTAAGCTAAAATTAAGCTTAAATTATATAAATGTTTAAAGAAATGTTACAAGACCATTAGATTATAAGAAAAATTTTATTTTTAAAGGGGGAAAAGTGTTTGAGAATTTTAATTGAAACACCAGATGTATAGATGCAGTTTCCGGGAAATTTTTTCCCCAAGGGGGGGGTTAAAAAATTTTTTGCATCGGGTAATGTATATCCAAAAGGGTGTTTTCTTTCAGGGGGTGGTTGGATTATGAGTTCATTTTCACTGAAGAAATATAATTTGGTATCCAGATTTTGATTTTATACATGTATTATATTTTAATATATTCCCCCACCCCCCACTCCCGCCTATATCTGCACATGCCGATCGTAAATTGTGCAATATATATAGCAAGTTTTATAGACTCTGTGAAATCAATGCATTGATGATCTTTTATCTAACAAATTGATGCAAATGAACAAAAAACCAAATAATTTAACATGTTAAAGTAGGCAATCACTATTTGTATAAAGGTTATTCAACCCTAATTATATGTTCAATATCTTAAATGAACTTGTCTCTTTTAATCTGGACAAAAACATTTATCATTAGTAGGGAAAATTTCAAAGTATGTAGTGAATATCAAACAGTGCATATCATGATCAAACGGCACGACTATGGCACAATTGTGCCAGCTAAATTTGGTTTGCACAGGTCACATTGGTAAATTCTGTAGCGGCCTGAATAGGTTAAGAGTTTAAAATAAGGAAAATAATGGTAACATGACAATGTTTGGGAACAGAATGGGGTTGGGGAGGTGTTTGGGGTGTGTAAGATGCAGGTCTTTTTTTCTCAGGTTGGGGAAGCAGCCCTGCCCTTAATTTTGGGGAAAATTACAAAATTTGTAAAAGGGGAAGAAAAAACTTGATGTTAATTTGGGGAAAACTGCATGATTTTAAAGAATTTTTCATTGGGAAAGCAGCCCTATAACGGCATCTGCTATAGAAGGGAAAAAAAGCCCTGATTGATGATATACAGGAGAGGACAATATCTATTTGGCTTATATAAATCTAAATCAGGCACCTGTATGTTACATGTAGTTTTTACCAGACATTGCCTCAAGTCTAGCCTAATATAAATTTGTAATGGTAATGATTTACAAAATGTAGCTGCTCAATTAGTGTACAATATACATGTAATTATGCAGGCCCTGGCTTCATAACTTTAACAACTTGTAACGGCAGGAAATCCTAACAATTAACATTGTACTGTTCCAAATTAAATACAGGGAATGTTGCACAAATTCATTTCATGATGATTATTGAATGTAAAAAAAAATAATACAAAATTGGTTTTCTGTATACTGTTAAACAAATTAAGGGATTTTCCTTAAAGCAGCATGCTTCCAGATTCAGCCTAATTTGCATGAAAGTTTGAAAATGTATTTATGCAGTATAATATTGTGCAGTTACCAAAAGAATGCAATGCACACATTATAAATGGTACTTACAACCCTTGTAAAATACCATAAAGAGGACGAAATATGCAAAAATAGCCCTTGCTGCGTTAGAAACGCAGTTAAGTAATATAGTTATAAATACTGAAAAATCGGTCATTAATCGCACATAACATGTAGATTATTACTAGAATATTGAATCTTTATACTTTTCCTAAAATCTTAGTACAATTTTCTCAGGTTTGATTTTGTCAAAATATGTTTGCTTATCTGGAGGTGTGCAGCTTTAAAACTTGGTTTGAACGAAGTCTTTAAAAATATCAGTAAAATGGTAATTCAGGTATTTCTGTTAATACATTAAATCTTGATTCAACTGTCAATGACTTGTATATTGAGCAGTCAGCTTAATTTCCTACATTACAGATTATTATTTACATCTTACTCAAAACAAAAGACAGCAGCTGCTTATGTATTAATTGGCTACTGTACCTACTTATCGAAAATATTAAAATAAAGGTCACTGTGTTGGATAATTCCGGTTTACTGAAGTACATGTAATTCATTATCTGTCCAAAATCAAGTTCACGGTAAGATGTGACATTACAGTCTCGTTTGTCTTAGTGTTAGTATAATACTGAAAAGTGTCCAAAATTAATCTGGTTCATCTCATTTGTGCATGTTTATTATTTCCTTGATTGCTAAAATAATTTTTGTTCTTTTAACCCTTTTTGCTATCTACTAGACATGTATGATCTGTACAAATTACCGTTACAAAGTTGGTTTGTATACTAAAATATGGTAATCATCTTTGTGATATGCAGTCTGATTAAAATCAGCTACACATGTGGGATATGAAAAAATTATATCTGATGTTTGAATTGTTTTAGGGTTGGGGTGGGGATATTTTTTCATATATTTTGTTTGATGTTTGAGATTTTTTTTTTTACTTTTGTCATTTTTTATCCATTTTACACACATTGGGAGAAAAATAACATCAGTCATTTATAGTTAATTTGTGTAATGTCGGTGAAATGCTAGTAATAAGTTTACCTTAAATGTACAATTACATTTGTACATCTAGTTTAAGATAAAATATTCATAAGAAAAAATCATATTCAGTGTTTACTTTATGTTGTTTTATTTTAATCAATTCCAGGTTGCTATGAGTGATTATGGTATACAGTATGGGGGGACAATGTGCTCTAAATAAGTTTCGGGCCAGCGGTCATGGATTCAAGAAGTGAGGTACGTGTCCGAGGCAGGACAAATTCATCAAACAGTATGACAGAAGAGAACGCACCTTTTTTACCCACAATGCCTTTACCGAGCCCGGACATGGTCGTCTATGGCTCAGAACCCAAGCCGGCAAAAAATAACTTTGGGTAAGAAAATTTTATTGGAAAGCAGTATTTTTTGGGGGTGGAAAAATTTTCGCTTGTTTTAGGATTTACGTAAATTCCCCCAAAGTTGCTCAAATTTCCCGGTTTAACCCAGGAAAAAATTTTAGTATAATCCTAGGTCTCGGACCCTTATTTGGGTTTTTTAAATAGTACCTATTATTGGAAAGGTCCGTATAATGTAGGGGTAAAATTTGGGTCGGGAAAAGGCCCCTTCATTCTAGGGGTTATCATTATTTTTAATTATTTCGTTGCTATAAAACCATATTAAAGGATTTAACCCGCGATCATTATTTGGAATGGCCCCGTCCGAAAAAATTTTTTGCTTATTGTTATTGATTTTGGTTTTAATAATGGGTTTTGATTTTCGATCCAAACTTTTTTTTAAACCAAATTTAAGCTTTTTTTGTCCCACGCAAACCAAGGAAATGGCCAGGAAGGGAGAGTATTCATCATTTATTCATTGATGGTCAGTCTTGGTGGATTTATTGGTTATTTGATTACAGCAATCGATTGGAAAGCAACCGCAATTGGTATTTATTTTAAAACGCAAGAAAGAACAGTATTTTCAATGCTTACAGCATTGTTCAGTGGTCTGTTATTAACAACAGTTTGTGTTGCCAAAGAGAGACCATTATTGTTAAGAGATTATGATATACCTGGAAATTCAAGTGATACTATTGTTGAAGTGAGTAGTACCCGGGGGGGAGTTCCGGGTTTTTGATCAAAACCCGGGGCCCGAAAAAGGATTGCGATAAATGAGATTGAGCCCAAAAAAAACAAAAAGAGAGAAAAGTCACCAAAAAAATACTCAAAAAGAATTTCCGGGGGGAAAAAATTAACAATTCTACCGGATTTGGATTTAGATTTATTTTGACGTTCAAAATTTTTGTTGCAATATTGAATCTATTGCGCCTTCTGTGGATTAGTGTATATGAAAAGTTACCGGAACCATTTCAGAAGCTCTGTGATATTCCACATGTTTTAAGACAACTGGCGCTGGCCCATTTCTGTAGCTGGACTGCAATCATGGGATTTAACTTGTTTTTTACTGACTTTGTCGGCAATGCCGTTTACGAAGGAAATCCCAATGCCCCAGAAGACTCGTACTTACGGAACAGATTCGATGAAGGGGTACGAATGGGTAGTTGGGGGCTACTTCTTCATTGTATAACGTCAGCATTGTATGCTGTATTTGTTGAAAAATTAGTCGCTCGCTTTGGCTGCAAATTGACTTACACCTTCGGGATGACATCATTCATCTTCGCCATGTTTGGGATGGTTCTCGTGCAGAATGTGATATTTGTGAATATAATGGCAGGTGTGACAGGCTTTGCTTATGCCACTGTTTTAACCATTCCGTTTATATTGGTTTCAAAATACCATAGTGAAAAAGAGGTTAGTATTGTATAAAAAAAAAGTTTTAGTTTAATTTTTCTTTGATACATAAAGATTCACCAGTCACATGCCTTTAATAAGCTATTACTTTGATAAACACCATAGTAACAGTAACGTTATGAAATTGCAATAAAAATAGTTGAAACTAGATGAAAGTTAATGAATGTAAAACAAAAAAGAAAAAAGGAGCTTTGTTATACCATACAAACATCCTGTCTGTGTCTGTTTTTTAATGGAAATCAACTTTTTAGAATAATCTATATAAAACCTATTTTTTAAAGTTTTAAAGTTAGGCAGTAATTAAGGGTTAGGGGTTCCATTACATTTTGGCTTGATATATTGCCAAAATGTTAAGTTATTAATTTAAGAAAGTCAGGGCTTAGACCTTTTAGAGACCGGGAATATCTGACATTGGGGAAGTCCAATGTGAAAAAGTCCCAAGAAGAAAAGCATTATCTTTTGCGGAAACGAGGAGTATAAAACTCCCAAACTTTCAAAATAATGGAAAGTCCCGTGGCTGGGAAACCCAATAGATTTGCCTTTTTGCCCAACAGTAATAGAGCAGGATTTATAACTGTTTGGTGGACAATTTTTTTGGTAAAAATTTAGGTAAATTGAACATGGACTATACTAAATTTAAAGCAGAGTGAATCCATTAAATTCAGCAGGTTGAACTTTTATATTTAAATATTTTATTTATTTTAAATATTTGATAATTATTACTTTTACTTAGTGGCAACCTGCTTTAACTTGAGGTCACTTGGTTTAACATAAAACAGTCTTCGTTTTTTTCACTTTGTCACGAGGAAATGAAAGTATTCTATTTGTTTAAGTTATTTGTACATGTAAAGTAAATGTTGATCATAAGTGTTTCCTAATTTATAATTGGACATTTCTTTTACTTGGTGACTTGTCTTATTTGGTGCAGTTATATTTAACTAAACAATGCTGCATTTCAATTTTTAATTGAAACCAAGTTTTTTTCTAGATAAATAATTAAATTACATGTATTATAATGCATGTATTCTAATTTTATGATAAAAGAAAGTAATTAAGACAGGCATTGAAGATATTCATCAGATTAATGGTTTAAATACACCAGAGTTGCAATACATGCTGAATTTAACGTGACTTACATATATGTTAAAAAAAATGAAGACCTACTGTATGTAATGGACTAATAAGTGATCACAGCCTTGTTCTTTTCATATACATTTCACATGATTTGTAGTTACGAACCTTCGATATTCTTGATATATTAACTTAAGAGTCGCCATTTTGCCTCTTACACCAATTACTTTTCCATTTAATTTTTTCATTGAATATCTGATGAGGTTTTTTTTTTTCAGCAAAAATTATCATAAAAAAAATGCAAAGTTAATACATATTAAGGGATCTAAGGTCCAACATGTTGCAGGCTCAGGGATAATATGACCAACTTAAAGTGCTGAATTTTGTGAAAAAGAATCAGTTACTCTATTGGTTGTCAGCATTCTGGATTTGCTAGTACAGTACAGATGTGAATTTATAGATATGATTGTGGCTGCAGCTAGACAAGAACCTCTGCACAATTATTTGTTTGAACGCAGATAATTAAATTTTTTAACCATTATTTTTCCACCATTTCTTCATAACATGGCTTTCGACTTTATGAATTAAGTTTAGATACACCGCCTCCGTGGTTGAGGGGTTAGAGTCGATGACTTGTAATCCAGTTACCTCTCTGGTGTGGGATCGATCCTCGGGAGATGCTTTGGTAGTTTAGCGCGGAAGAAGGTAGTCTAGTACTGGTGTAACTCTCCAGGAACAATGGTTAGGAAACTACCCACCTATATGACTGAAATACTGTTGGAATATGGCGTAAAATCAAACAAACAAACAAAAGTTTAGATACACTTCTATGTACATGTGTTTCTATAGGGCATGTGGGATATAAAATTTCTGAATTTGTGACACATGTCACTATTAACTAAGGGTTTTCCCTGTAATATATTTGTATAGGCCATAAAGAGACCACATAATATTATATGTAATGGTTTTCAGTCAAGTCCTGTATATTCTCACTGACTTGAGACTGCAAGTTCTATGGTGATTAAGGCCTAAAAAACTCATATAGTGAAATTTCATGGAAAATGCATTAGCTCAGGTTTGATGGGATATTCAAACCTTATATTCTCTAATAAACACGCCCCCTCTAACTTTTTTTAGACATTGAAAAAAATTAACTTAGTTACAAATGATGGCAATTTGATATAAATTCATGAAAATTAGTATAAATTTTAAGACAACTGGTGCATATATTTGACAAAATTTATGTAAAAAAATTTTGTATTTTGATTAAGGACATTACTATATTCCTACCCCCTTTTAGAAAACGCAAATTTTTGAGAATATAAAGTATAGTAACTGTGTCCTATATGTTCAAAATTGTGTATCTTTTTAACATTTTGCCCTGTAAAATTGTTGTCACAAATGTTTTTTCTGAAAGATAATTAATTATATACCTTAAATTAATCATGACATATAATTTAAGACTACAATTATTTTTTTTATTTCAGGTGTTTTTTAACGATGTGATGCCTCCTGTTTCCCAGTCTTCTCTGCCGGCACCAGCACGAGGCATAGCAACAGACATCGCTACACTGGACAGCGCATATTTTCTCTCTCAAGTTGTTCTTTCATGCATTATGGGATATATCGTGTACATGACAGGCTCGGTATTGTCGTACATGGTGACAGCTGGTGTGATGGGCATTCTTTCTATATACTTTATACAAAATGTTGTAACGTGTGAACAAGAAATGATCGAACGAAAACCGGATTTGACTGGTAGAAATCAGCCTAACGGTGTATTATGATAAAAGGATTATAGTTAATCCCTATAATTCCTCTGCTGTTGTTTTTAACGGAGTTGCTCATTATAAAGAAACCATTGCAAAAACAACTACTTAAATAAAACTGTTTGTTCATGTTTGTCTCTAACAAATTGTCAGGTCACTGAATGTCGATGATGCAGTGGGTTGTAAATTTAAAGATTTTTTTTGTTCAAGACAATGTTCAATATAAAACAATGAATTTTGATTTAATATAATGTAATATTATATACAATGTACATAAAATAGAAAAATCGCCTATTTTGAACATATGTTTCAGGTCTAATTGATTTTTTTTTATGACTAAAGAAAAAAAGTATTTTGTTTTTCCAAGCTTTTATGATGAAAACATATTATCTTATGAATAATAATTATTATTCTTGAAGTATTTGATTTGCTTTCTTTATTTAAATCTTTTTTAAAGAATACAAAATACTTTGTAGCTGGAAAAATAATGAATCAGTGATTTGAATCTTGTTTTTATATGCTGAATTATGATATATTTTTTTGTAACTTGGGGACAAAAATTGTATTGCAAGAAAATGCTTTCCACACCAAATATTAGATACCAAGCAATTAGTACATAACCTACGCACAGTTCAAGTAATATATGCGGGATTGTTTATAAGGGAGTTTTCTTTATGTAATTAGAATTTAAAATTATACTGAAATTTCATTGTTGTAATAATAAAATTGCTTCTATTTTTAGCTCACCTGTCACAAAGTGACAGGGTGAGCTTTTGTGATCGCTTTTCGTCCGGCGTCCGTCCGTCCGTCCGTCGTCCGTCCGTAAACTTTTGCTTTAAATGACATCTCCTCATAAACCACTGAGCCAATTTCATCCAAACTTCACAGGAATGTTCCTTTGGTGATCACCTTTAAAAATTGTTCAAAGAATTTAATTCCATGCAGAACTCTGGTTGCCATGGCAACCGAAAGAAAAATCTTTAAATATCTTCTTTTAAACAATCCTAAGAGCTAGAGCTTAGATATTTGGCATGAAACATCTTCTAGTGAGTGTCTACCAAGTTTGTTCAAATAAAAGCCCTGGGGTCAAAATTGGCCCCGCCCCGGGGGGGTCATTGATTTTCCCTATATGCATATAGTAAAAACTTGAAAAATCTTCTTTTAAAGAACCCAAAGAGCTAGAGCTAAGATATTTGGCATGAAACATCTTCTAAGTGAGTGTCTACCAAGTTTTGTTCAAATTAAAAGCCCTGGGGTCAAAATTGGCCCCGCCCGGGGGTCATTGATTTTCCCTATATGCTTATAGTAAAAACTTAAAAAATCTTTTTTAAAGAACCGTAAGAGCTAGAGCTTAGATATTTAGCATGAAACATCTTCTAGTGAATGTCTACCAAGTTTGTTCAAATAAAAGCCCTGGGGTCAAAATTGGCCCCGCCCCAGGGGGTCATTGATTTTCCCTATATGGCATATAGTAAAAACTTAAAAATCTTCTTTTAAAGAACCCAAAGAGCTAGAGCTAAGATATTAAGCATGAAACATCTTCTAGTGAGTGTCCACCAAGTTTGTTCAAATAAAAGCCCTGGGGTCAAAATTGGCCCCACCCCGGGGGGTCATTGATTTTCCCTATATGCATATAGTAAAAACTTAAAAAATCTTCTTTTAAAAGAACCATAAGAGCTAGAGCTTAGATATTTGGCATGAAACATCTTCTAGTGAATGTCTACCAAGTTTGTTCAAATAAAAGCCCTGGGGTCAAAATTGACCCCGCCCCAGGGGTCATAGATTTTCCCTATATGCATAGAGTTAAAAACTTAAAAAGTCTTCTTTTAAAGAACCTAAAGAGCTAGAGCTAAGATATTTAGCATGAAACAATCTTCTAATGAGTGTCTACCAAGTTTGTTCAAATAAAAGCCCTGGGGTCAAAATTGGCACTGCCCCAGGGGGGTCATTGATTTTCCCTATATGCATATAGTAAAAACTTAAAAAATCTTCTTTTAAAGAACTCAAAAGAGCTAGAGTTTAGATATTAAGCATGAAACATCTTTAAGTAAATATCTACAAAGTTTGTTCAAATAAAAGCCCGGGTCAAACTGGCCCTGCCCCCAGGGGTGTCATTGTTTTTAACTATATGTGTATAGTAAAAACTTTAAAAATCTTCTTTTAAAAAACCCAATGAGCTAGAACTTAGATGTTTAGCATTGAAACATCTTCTTATGGGTGTCTACCAAGTCTGTTCAAATAAACAAATAAAAGCCCTTGGGTAAAAATTGGCCCGGGGAGGGGGGGGGGCCTATATACAGGTGAGCGACCTCAGGGCCATCATGGCCCTCTTGTTAGAAAGACTTTCTGGTAAAACATTTTTTGGGGAGGGAGGAGGAGGTCTCAAGGTTAAGTTTAGCACTTAAAGTTAAGCACATTTTAAACCCTAGTTGTTAAGATACCTGTAAAGCAGTGGGGGCGCGGCCGAGTGGTTAACGCATTGGACAAGTAATCTAATTATTGCTGGCCGCATGGGTTCTAACCCTATCAGGGGCAAGCCTTTGTTTCCGTGAGTAAGAATCATTACACTAATTGCTTAGTACTGTTTTGTACCATTATCGAATTTGTGTTTCAGTAAGCTTATGGCTTCAACACGATGGAACTAAAGTAAATTAGTATAAACTAAACTAACCAAGGGATTGTGGGTTCTTGATCACGACCACGTTTCCTCACATGATGCTAGTAGTGGTTAGTTCAAAGATGCAAACATGAATAATTATGATTAATATAATTTTTACAAGAAACTCTCAGAATCAAGCTTAAATTATAAATTAACTAAATTTGTTTGAACTAATTTACAGAGCCAGAAGAAACAAATCAATATTTTCTTTGTATTTATATATACATACATGTATATTTTATTTCATGTCATTTGTTAAGCCTGTTACCATAGCAATATTCTTATCCAGCACATGAGAACAAATTAATTTTTTGTATCTGTTTTAGTAATTTAAATTATGACACAGATATTATCTATGGTATTTGTATCTCTACAAATATCAGGTTACAAACATAATTCATTTACTTTTTTAGTGTTTACAATTTAAAATGATTTTCAGTCTTTTCTTATATATGTGTGAAATAATGTGCATGAATTTTAATTTTCTTAAATGCTTTCTTTATTTAATGAGTTTTATATTTTAAAAAATATGTGTCCCTTCAAATCTACTTAAGTATTTTTTAAGTATTATAGTACAGTACCCTAACGTTTGCTGAATGGTTGAGAGATTGTGTTGTATATTTGCCCGACTGTGCCTGGGACGTAATTATAACGGGACAAGCAAATACTGACAAGATAAGAGGTCATGTGTCTGGTGTCCAGTTGACGGCCAATTGATTGCTAAGCGCAGTATTTAAAATTAATGCTTTTATTGTACAAAAATTCAAATAATGCGTTTTCATAACATCATTTTAAGAAAATTTAAATATGAAAGGAATATTAAAATTTTACTTGTGGCTTGTTCTTTTATTTACATTTTATATTACCGACAAAAAGATACCATTTCACAACGATCAGTAAGACTAAATAACTGGGAACGCATCTGTCACTGCACAAATTTTCAGTAGCTTGTTTCATTTTATAATGTCCCAGGTCTGTGTCTATGTGTGTAAGGGAAAATGAAATTGCTTGAGATAATTTCCAAAAAACCAGGGAACTCTCAGGTTTCCATTTTGTCAAAACGATTTTAAAATTTTAATTTTAGTTTGAAAACATATTTCTAGCAAACTACACATGCTTACAATGTTTTGATTTAAGGTATTAGGACCCTAATGGGCACTATCAGGAACTAAAAAATTGACATCATAAGTCAGATGTATACCTTAAAGTACACCTGTATGCAAAATTTAAACAAAGTTTACCGTACAGAAATCAAGTTATGGCCACTTTTCTGAACTCAAGCTAGGATGTTATGAGGGCCCTTTTTTAGAAAGTAGGAACCTTTTTGGTAAGAAACAAAAAGTACCATTCAGCTAACAATCCAAATAAGCAAAATTATGGTTTCTACATAAAATTTATGAAGTCTGTATAAAAATGTTACCCTACCCCACCCATCTGACCATTTTTCTATTTAGGGAGCCTAATTTAAAAAATTCTTAAAATTTATCCAAATGAGTGCCTGTTTTCAAAGTTTCCCTAAATTTTTAAAAAAGTATATTGGTTGATCTTGTAAAATATGAAATACTTTTACCGTCTAGTTTTGATTATATTACACTTTAAAAATATCAGGTACCATATTTATTACTAGATTTAGCATAATTTAGCCAATAAATACCTATATAAATTAAAAAAATCAAAATTAAACACTTTTTTCTTTCCAAATGGGACATGAGAGATACATAAATAATGTTAAAAGAAAAAAAGGAAGAAAAAAAAGTTGACCCTTCTGGGGATCGAACCCATGGCCCTCATTTTCAATGTAGTTAACAGTAGTTCTAGCCTATTTGAATACTCTTCAAAGCAGAGGTAATGCATTAGGGTGCTAATACCTTAAATATGGTAGCAGACATGCATAAAGTTTCAACCCAGTTTTTTTATATTATTTAAATATTAATGACCCATTTTTACATATTATTTGTGTGAACTTTCTCTATGTTACATGTAGCAGTCTTCTCGAAAACTTCCAGAAAATTGCTAATCATGCTTACAACTTTTTCAGCATTACATAAGATTGCTTTACGAAACGTGTTACATTATTCTTACTTTCTTTATTTGCAATTTATGCACCCTTTCGTCTTATACATATATGCATAACTAGACACATGTTGAAAATCCACCTTTCATTTTGTCAGACACTCGTTTTCTTGGTTTGATTTAAATATGTGGTATTTATAAATTGTTTGAAATTATTTTAATCATGTAATGCATTTTACTTACTGGTAAACCACATATTTTACTTTGCTTTACATTTCTCTTTTACTTTATTTCATATCTTTGGGACCAATAGATTTGTATTGTCTATTGATTGTTGTTTTTTTTCCATTTTGTTTGTTTATGCATGACATACAGGTAAGCCATTTAAACAAACCTAATTATTTTTTAATTTCTCCATAAAATGCTTTCCATCTGCATAGATACATTTGTTTTTATGTTTTGTTTATTAAAATACTTCTTTTGCATGGACAATTATTATACATATGTACTAAGGTGTTTTTTCTTCATATTGCTTTTTAAGTTATACATTATGCAATGTTACTGGATATAATTAAAATATATAATGTTGTTTTTGATAGGTTTTCTTTTTTTAAGTTCTATGCCAGTATATAATGTGTTTTAACTATGTCATAAATTAAAAACCAAAGAAATGTACTGTTCAGTTTACCATGTTGTGTAGATCCTATGTTTTTCATTGTCAAAGAAAGTTCATTTATGTCATGTGTCAAGGTTGTATTGCCAAAAAAAAGGACAAGTTGATGGAATATACATGTAGTTATAGGTTGTTTTGGCCTTGTTTTATGATTTTGGTGATAAAACATTTTTGGAAAGCATTAAATTGTCTTGCCTTCTATGTTGCTGTTTCAACTTCCATTTGTGTAAGAACAATAATAACTATTTGTGTTAAAGTACAGTTTTATGTAATTTAAGTCAGTTAGAAAAATAAGCCTCCAATAATATTTTTGAAAAATGTCATAAATGGCATTTCTTAAAGAAATAAATACTAAAAAACTTCATTTGTTAGTGCTTAGTGAAAGATTCTATTTCCC